AATTCATATATATATTTGTATCTGTACACATACCTACAAAAACTGCACCATTTACAGCAGGGGTGTCATACGGATCCGTCCCTCGAGCCCATTCAAATCCTTTTTCTTTTTATGTATATATTTTTTTTTTGTTAAATGGACCTATATTTATAGTCTCTTTACTTCACATCGAATTCCAAACGCGATGGATGATGGACCTTTTGCAAATATAACCAATTCTAAGTGCAGCCCTCCGGATCTCGGCCCGAGGAGCACAATTAGTTTGACAACCCTGATTTACAGTTAAGAGATCTACAAAATAAGAACATTTACAACATGGAATTTATGTTCAATAGAGGTCTTAAAACACACAGGTGATATGTTGTTGTTGTTGCACTGAATAAAACTGTAGACAAAGTAAAATACTATCTATTGTATACATATAGAAGTACAGTCAAAACTCTCCGTTCTATGAAGTCACCTGGAATTTAATCTAGTTTTTTTGGAAAAGGAGAATGTTTGATGTACATACAAGCTGGACCCCACATAGGAAGGGAATACTTTACTCTGTTCCTGATATGGACACGTTTCACACTGAGGGGAGTGGAGGGAATGAGACGCCTAGTAGAGGGGGGAGCAACATATTGGGTCTAGTAGAGGGGGAGCAACATATTGGGTCTAGTAGTAGGGGGGAGCAACATATTGGGTCTAGTACAGGGGGGAGCAACATATTGGGTCTAGTACAGGGGGGAGCACATATTGGGTCTAGTACAGGGGGGAGCAACATATTGGGTCTAGTACAGGGGGGAGCAACATATTGGGTCTAGTAGAGGGGGGGCAACATATTGGGTCTAGTAGAGGGGGGAGCAACATATTGGGTCTAGTACAGGGGGGAGCAACATATTGGGTTCTAGTACAGGGTGGGAGCAACATATTGGGTCTAGTAGAGGGGGAGAACATATTGGGTCTAGTAGAGGGGGGAGCAACATATTGGGTCTAGTAGAGGGGGGAGCACATATTGGTGATCTAGTACAGAGGGGGAGCAACATATTGGATCTAGTACAGAGGGGAGGCAACATATTGGGTCTAGTAAGAGGGGGAGCAACATATTGGGTCTAGTAGAGGGGGGAAGCAAGATGCAACATATTGGGTCTAGTAAGGGGGGGAGCAACATAATTGGGGGCCTAGTAAGGGGGGGAGCAACATATTGGGTCTAGTAGTGGGGGAGCAACCCTATTGGGCCTAGTAGAGGGGGGGAGCAACATATGTGGTCTAGTACAGGGGGGAGGGAGGACATATTGGGTCTAGTAGGGGGGGAGCAAATATTGGGCTAGTAGAGGGGGGAGCAACAATTGGGTCTAGTACAAGGGGGGGCAACATATTGGGTCTAGTACAGGGGGGAGCAACATATTAAGGGGGAGCCACATATTGGGTTCTAGTAGGTGGAGCAACTATTGGGTCTAGTACAGGGGGAGCAACATATTTGGGTCTAGTACAGGGGGAGGGAACATATTGGGTCCTAGTAAGGGGGGAGCAACATATTGGGGTCTAGTAGAGGGGGAGCAACATATGGGTCTAGTAGAGGGGGAGCAACATATTGGGGTCTAGTCAGGGGGAGCAACATATTGGGTCTAGTAAGGGGGGAGCAACATATTGGGTCTAGTAGAAGGGGGGAGCAACATATTGGGCCTAGTAGAGGGGGGAGAACATATTGGGTCTAGCAGGGGGGGGAGCAACAAGGTCTAGGGGCCTGGGGGGGGAGCAACATATGGGTCTATGTACAAAGGGGGAGCAACATGATTGGGTCTAGTAGTGGGGGAGCAACATATGGGCCTAGTAAGGGGGAGCAACATATTGGGTCTAGTACAGGGGGGAGCAACATATTGGGTCAGTACAGGGGGGGCAAAAAATTATACAGGGAGACAACATATTGGGTCTAGTAGAGGGGGAGCAAACGTATTGGGTCTAGTACAGGGGGGAGCAACATATTGGGTCTAGTACAGGGGGGAGCAACATATTGGGTCTAGTAGAGGGGGGAGCAACATATTGGGTCTAGTAGAGGGGGGAGCAACATATTGGGTCTAGTAGAGGGGGAGCAACTATTGGGTCTAGTACAGGGGGAGCAACATATATGGGTCTAAGGGGAGCAACATATTGGGTATAATACGGGGGGAGCAACATATTTTGGGTCCTATTTACAGGCATGAGCAGGAGCACATATTGGGTCTAGTACAGGAGCAACATATTGGGTCTAGTACAGGGGGAGCAACATATTGGGTCTAGTACGGGGGAGCAACATATTGGGTCTAGTACAGGGGAGCAACACATTGGGTCTAGTACAGTGGGAGCAACATATTGGGTCTAGTAAGGGGGAGCAACACAATTGGGGTCTAGTAAAGGGGGGAGCAACATATTGGGTTCTAGTAGAGGGGGAGGGGCAACATATTGGGTCTAGTACAGGGGGAGCAACATATTGGGTCTAGTAGGGGGGGGGGAGCAACATATTGGGTCTAATACAGGGGGGAGCAACATATTGGGTCTAGTACAGGGGGAGCAACATATTGGGTCTAATACAGGGGGGAGCAACATATTGGGTCTAGTAGAGGGACAACGGGGGTCAATATTGGGTCTATAGACGGGGGGAGCAACATATTGGGTCTAGTAGAGGGGGGAGCAAACATATTGGGTCTAGTACAGGGGAGCAACATATTGGGTCAGTAGAGGGGGAGCAACATATTGGGTCCCTAGTACAGGGGGAGAAACATATTGGGTCTAGTAGAGGGGGAGCAACATATTGGGTCTAGTACAGGGGGAGCAACATATTGGGTCTAGTACAGGGGGAGCAACATATTATACAGGGGGAGCAACATATTGGGTCTAGTACAGGGGGGAGCAACATATTGGGTCTAGTAGAGGGGGGAGCAACATATTGGGTCTAGTAGAAGAGGGGGGAGCAACATATTGGGGTCTAGTAGAGGGGGGAGCACATATTGGGTCTAATACAGGGGGAGCAACATATTATACAGGGGGACAACAATTTGGGTCTGTACAGGGGGGAGCAACATATTGGGTCTAGTAGAGGGGGGAGCAACATATTGGGTCTAATACAGGGGGAGGCAACATATTGGGTCTAGTACAGGGGGGAGCAACATATTGGGTCTAATACGGGGGGAGCAACATATTGGGTCTAGTACAGGGGGAGCAACATATTGGGTCTAGTACAGGGGGGAGCAACATATTGGGTCTAGTACAGGGGGAGCAACATATTGGGTCTAGTACAGGGGGAGCAACATATTGGGTCTAGTACAGGGGGAGCAACACATGGTCTAGTACAGGGGAGCAACATTTGGTCTAGTAGAGGGGGGGAGCAACATATTGGGTCTAGTAGAGGGGGGAGCAACATATTGGGTCTAGTAGAGGGGGGACAACATATTGGGGTCTAGTACAGGGGGGAGCCACATATGGGGTCTAGTAGAGGGGGGAGCAACATATGGGTCTAATACAGGGGGGAGCAACATATTGGGTCTAGTACAGGGGGGGGAGCAACATATTGGGTCTAATACAGGGGGGAGCAACCCTATTGGGTCTAGGTAGAAAGGGGGAGCAACATATGGGTTCTAATACGGGGGGACAACATATTGGGTCTAGTAGAGGGGGGAGCAACATATTGGGTCTAGTAGAGGGGGGAGCACATATTGGGTCTAGTAGAGGGGGAGCAACATATTGGGTCTAATACAGGGGGAGCAACATATTATACAGGGGGAGCAACATATTGGGTCTAGTACAGGGGGAGCAACATATTGGGTCTAGTAGAGGGGGGGAGCAACATATTGGGTCTATACAGGGGGGAGGCAACATATTGGGTCTAGTACAGGGGGGGAGCAACATATTGGGTCTAATACGGGGGTGAGCAACATATTGGGTCTAGTACAGGGGGAGCAACTATTGGTCTAGTACAGGGGGGAGCAACATATTGGGTCTAGTACAGGGGGAGCAACTATTGGGTCTAGTACAAGGGGGAGCACACATTGGGTCTAGTACGGGGGAGCAACATATTGGGTCTAGTAGAGGGGGGAGCAACATATTGGGTCTAGTAGAGGGGGGAGCAACATATTGGGTCTAGTAGAGGGGGGAGCAACATATTGGGTCTAGTAGAGGGGGGGAGCAACATATTGGGTCTAGTAGAGGGGGGAGCAACATATTGGGTCTAATACAGGGGGAGCAAACATATTGGGTCTAGTACAGGGGGAGCAACATATGGGTCTAATACAGGGGGAGCAACATATTGGGTCTGTAGAGGGGGGAGCAACATATTGGGTCTAATACGGGGGAAGCAACATATTGGGTCTAGTAACGGGGGAGCAACATATTGGGTCTAGTAGAGGGGGGAGCAACATATTGGGTCTAGTAACAGGGGGAGCAACAATTGGGTCTAGTAGAGGGGGGAGCAACATATTGGGTCTAGTACAGGGGAGAAACATATTGGGTCTAGTAGAGGGGAGCACATATGGTTCTAGTACAGGGGGAGCAACATATTGGGTCTCGTAACAGGGGAGCAACATATTATAACAGGGGAGCAACATATGGGTCTAGTACAGGGGGAGCAAAATATTGGTCTGTAGAGGGGGAGCAACATATTGGGTCTAGTAGAGGGGGGAGCAACATATTGGGTCTAGTAAGGGGGAGCCCATATTGGGTCTAGTTACAGTGGACACATATTGGGTCTAGTAGAGGGTGAGCAACAATTGGGTCTAGTACAGGAGGGGAGAAACTGATTGGGTCTGTAAGGGGGAGCAACATATTGTGGTCTAGTACAGGGGGAGCAATATTGGGTCTAGTAACAGGGGGAGCAACATATATACAGGGGAGCAACTATTGGGTCTATGTACATGGGGGGGAGCAACATATTGGTCTAGTAGAGGGGGAGCACATATTGGGTCTAGTAAGAGGGGAGCAACATATTGGTCTAGTAGAGGGGGAGCAACATATTGGTCTAAACAGGGGGAGCAACATATTGGGTCTAGTACAGGGGGGAGCAACATATTTTGAGAGTTTCACCTCAATGAGCAGACCCCCTTGTGTGTTTAGCATTGGGTGTATTTAGCGGTCAGCGTTTTGGTGTCTGCGGCTAACACAGCCCCCCCTCGTAGTCATCGTCATCCTCAGCAGAAGCAGCAGGCGCTCCGGCGCCCCCCTGTGTTGCCGTTGCAGACTTCTTCTTCTTCACTCCTCCTCCAGGGACCTTCAGGGAGATGGCCAGCTTGGCATACTGGGAGTAGAGGGGGAAGGATTACGTCACGAGGGTAGTTCGTACTCCTTGTATAGTTTCTTCAAGTGCAAGAAACCTGTGGCATTGGATCTTAAAACGCATGGTTTCAAATACTGTTAGACAGTGGTAGCAGTTTGGCATACTGGCAGTGTCAAAGATAACTCCCGTATACAGGGTTTCCTCTGCAGGTTTAGTGTCAACGTCTAGACAGTGTGAGGGTTTGGGATAGCTGGATGGCAGCGGTCTCCATCTCTGGTCCTGGAGGACTACTGGTGACTAACACACTGATACTGCAGGGCTGGAACAAAAGCCTGCACACCCAGTAGCACCCCAGGCCCAGAGTATGGCTCAGTTGGTAGAGCATGGTGCTTACAACACCAGTATTGTGGGTTTGATTCCCGGGACCACCCATATGTAAAATGTATGCACGTATGACTAAGTACCTTTGGATAAAAACGCCTGCTAAATGGCATACACTGAGCATACCAAACATTTGGAACACCTTCCTAATATTGAGTTGAACAGACCCCTGATGGTACATAATAGAATAGACCCCTGATGGTACATAATAGAACAGACCCCTGATGGTACATAATAGAACAGACCCCTGATGGTACATAATAGAACAGACCCCTGATGGTACATAATAGAACAGACCCCTGATGGTACATAATAGAATAGACCCCTGATGGTACATAATAGAATAGATCCCTGATGGTACATAATAGAACAGACCCCTGATGGTACAGTTGTATGAAGTGTTACTCACGTCATTGTCCATGTACTTCAGCAGAGCGGAGTTACACACACGGTGCACCTGGTCCTCGTCCTGCTCGTCATACCCCTGCAGTAACGTCTCCATGGCCACACAGTCTTCACTCCCACTGTACCCTGGGAGGCTGCAGGAAACATGAAATATCATCGTCAGACTACTGTCACAACACATAGGCTATAGCCCAATTATGGTTATCACTGAATACCCGTTCACTCCCCCTCATGGATTGGAAAGCATGGGATTCGTGAAAGCATGAGCTGGAGGGGGTTTCCACTAAATCCAACAGTGGGAGTGTACGAGTGCTCACCAATGCACCAATTCAGATAGAAATGTTCGTTGCTCTAGAGAAACGTATTCAGTCATTAGGAGGTACATACCTGTAGCTCTCTCTGACACACTTGTCTGCAGCCACAAAGTCATTTCTGTGAAGATGAACCAGCACCTGTGCCGTTGTTTTCTAAGAGAAAAGACCCAGATCAGCATTTAATGATCTATATTTTACACCTTCACCAATACCATGCACCACATAGCTGTTAGATACCAATAGTACACTGCTCAAAAAAATAAACGGAACACTTAAACAACACAATGTAACTCCAAGTCAATCACACTTCTGTGAAATCAAACTGTCCACTTAGGAAGCAACACTGATTGACAATACATTTCACATGCTGTTGTGCAAATGGAATAGACAACAGGTGGAAACGATAGGCAATTAGCAAGACACCCCCAATAAAGGAGTGGTTCTGCAGGTGGTGACCACAGACCACTTCTCAGTTCCTATGCTTCCTGGCTGATGTTTTGGTCACTTTTGAATGCTGGCGGTGCTTTCACTCTAGTGGTAGCATGAGACGGAGTCTACAACCCACACAAGTGGCTCAGGTAGTGCAGCTCATCCAGGATGGCACATCAATGCGAGCTGTGGCAAGAAGGTTTGCTGTGTCTGTCAGCGTAGTGTCCAGAGCATGGAGGCGCTACCAGGAGACAGGCTAGTACATCAGGAGACGTGGAGGAGGCCGTAGGAGGGCAACAACCCAGCAGCAGGACTGCTACCTCCGCCTTTGTGCAAGGAGGAGCAGGAGGAGCACTGCCAGAGCCCTTCAAAATGACCTCCAGCAGGCCACAAATGTGCATGTGTCTGCTCAAACGGTCAGAAACAGACTCCATGAGGATGGTATGAGGGCCCGACGTCCACAGGTGGGGGTTGTGCTTACAGCCCAACACCGTGCAGGACGTTTGGCATTTGCCAGAGAACACCAAGATTGGCAAATTCGCCACTGGCGCCCTGTGCTCTTCACAGATGAAAGCAGGTTCACACTGAGCACGTGACAGACGTGACAGAGTCTGGAGACGCCGTGGAGAACGTTCTGCTGCCTGCAACATCCTCCAGCATGACCGGTTTGGCGGTGGGTCAGTCATGGTGTGGGGTGGCATTTCTTTGGGGGGCCGCACAGCTCTCCATGTGCTCGCCAGAGGTAGCCTGACTGCCATTAGGTACCGAGATGAGATCCTCAGACCCCTTGTGAGACCATATGCTGGTGCGGTTGGCCCTGGGTTCCTCCTAATGCAAGACAATGCTAGACCTCATGTGGCTGGAGTGTGTCAGCAGTTCCTGCAAGAGGAAGGCATTAATGCTATGGGCTGGCCCGCCCGTTCCCCAGACCTGAATCCAACTGAGCACATCTGGGACATCATGTCTCGCACCATCCACCAACGCCACGTTGCACCACAGACTGTCCAGGAGTTGGCGGATGCTTTAGTCCAGGTCTGGGAGGAGATCCCTCAGGAGACCATCCGCCACCTCATCAGGAGCATGCCCAGGCGTTGTAGGGAGGTCATACAGGCACGTGGAGGCCACACACACTACTGAGCCTCATTTTGACTTGTTTTAAGGCCATTACATCAAAGTTGGATCAGCCTGTAGTGTGGTTTTCCACTTTAATTTTGAGTGTGACTCCAAATCCAGACCTCCATGGGTTGATAAATTTGATTTCCATTGATAATTTTGTGTGATTTTGTTGTCAGCACATTCAACTATGTAAAGAAAAAAGTATTTAATAAGATTATTTCATTCATTCATATCTAGGATGTGTTATTTGAATGTTCCCTTTATTTTTTTGAGCAGTGTATATAATTCCAATAGATCACCTAATGCATGCAAATTACTTAAGAAAGTACCTTAAAGCAAGTGGGATAATTCTCTATATCTTTATACATGTTCTTCTCTTTCTGGAGGGCGGTTGCAGCTTCATCCAGCCTGTAATCAAGTTCACAAAGACAGAACAGTGATTGAACAGGGAGTCAGGACCAGCCACAATACTTTGCTGCTTATAAATGCTTTGTGAAGCATCTATGTAGTGCTTATGAAGCCTTTTTTAAGCTGTTATTCATTGTCTTTACCTGCGTAATCTGACCAGCAGTCTGGAAGCTTTCCCCAGGAGCTCAGCTGACTGACGCAGGCGGTCCTCATTCTACACAGAAAACATTCAGTTAAAATCAACTTAACTTAAAGCAACTACTCAAACTTAGAATATGCTATTAATGACCAACTTACCTCAAACACACCGGCAGCCTGCTGGTACAGGTCCACTGCTTTCTCTAAGCTCATAGGCTCGATCAGTCTAGATAGGAAAACATTATGATTAAATACCAAGTACCATTTTAACAACACTGGTCAGGAACATATCAAAACCACCAAATAAATACAGTAGACACACTTCTATAGTCTGGAGCAGTACATACTTCCCGGCCCTGTCCAGCGCCATGGCAGCAGTGTCTGGAGTTCCGTTCTCTACGTACATCATACTGGCCTTCTCTATGTACTGGATCGCCTCAGGCATCTTCTTCAAGTCCTGTCACACATTTTACATTTTAGTCATTTAGCAGACGCTCTTATCCAGAGCGACTTACAGTTAAGTGAGTGCATACATTTTCATACTGGCCCCCCCGTGGGAATCGAACCCACAACCCTGGCGTTGCAAACGCCATGCTCTACCAACTGAGCTACATCCCTGCCGGCCATTCCCTCCCCTACCCTGGACTACGCTGGGCTAATTGTGCGCCGTCCCCATGGGTCTCACGGTCGCGGCCGGCTACGACAGAGTCTGGATTCAAACCAGGATCTCTAGTGGCACAGCTAGCACTGCGATGCAGTGCCTTAGACCACTGCGCCACTCGGGAAACTGGAGAAATGATGACCACAGCACATGGAGCAATGGTGACCTCTTTTACGCTTACTATTTGTTGTAGAATATCAATATTTTGTGGAGACAATAATGCTCTCGATCACATGGTACAGTGTATAGTAAAAAGGATCTTTCTCTCCCATCTTTGTGTACGGGGTTGTATTTAGGTCTTAGGCAGATATTACACGGACATTGAGAAACTCACCTTCATCATCATACCTGCTTGCTCAATTGCTCTGAAAAAGAAATGCATATCTTAGAAAAGGGAACAAAAGTCTTACATATAAGTATTGAACGGTATTATTAACCTTTAAAAAGGCCTAGTGCAGTCAAAAAGGTGATTGTCCTGTGTGGTATCTATATTTCCACACTATTAGGTTGGAATAATGCTGTGAAATTGCCCTTTTAGTGTAAGAGCTGTTGGAAAAGACAGCCTGAAATTTCTACCTGTTTTGGTGGGATGGAGTTTTGGTCTGCCTGGTTTTATCACCAGGCGGTAAATTAGTTAATAGACCAATAAGAAAGAGAGTTCCAAACCTCTCAGCCAATAACAGCTAGTTTTCAGTTTTCCCATCCCCACTCAGACCACTCCCAGACAGTCCTAGCAAAACTATTGCTTGAGAAAATGCTATTTTTATTTATTTTTGACCATTTTAAAAATCGACAACAATCACAGTAAGGTACTTAAAATTGTAGAGATAAAAACATCTGCGTTGGCCCTTTAATCTCAAGTATTCATATGGAAAACCTTACTTTGCTGCGTGAAACAACGCTTTATTTTCTGTGTGGTACTCTGCCTCCTTCAGGTAGGCATCCTTGGCTTGCTCAAACTGTTTGGCATTCTTGAAGCACACCGCTGGGAATGCAAACACAGATTGTTTATCAGACTGTAAATACACGGTGTGGAGTGCCATCCTTCCTATACGTTTACAGAACGTCAGCATACTTACCAGCTTTGCTATCCTTCCTATACGTTTACAGAACGTCAGCATACTTACCAGCTTTGCTATCCTTCCTATACGTTTACAGAACGTCAGCATATTTACCATGGTGTGGAGTGCTATCCTTCCTATACGTTTACAGAACGTCAGCATACTTACCAGCTTTGTATCCTTCCTATACGTTTACATAACGTCAGCATACTTACCAGCTTTGGCTATCCTTCCTATACGTTTACAGAACGTCAGCAATATTTACCATGGTGTGGAGTTGCTTATCCGTTCCTGTACGTTTACAGAACGGTCAGCCATACGTTACCATGGTGTGGAGTGCTATCCTTCCTGTACGTTTACAGACGTTCAGCATACTTACCATGGTGTGGAGTGGTTCTCCTTCCTGTACGTTTACCAGAACGTCAGCATAATTACCATGGTGTGGAGTGCTATCCTTCCTATACGTTTACAAGAAACGTCAGCATACTTACCATGGTGTGGAGTGTTCTCCTTCCTGTACGTTTACAGAACGTCAGCATAATTACCATGGTGTGGAGTGTTCTCCTTCCTATACGTTTACAGAACGTCAGCATACTTACCATGGTGTGGAGTGTTCTCCTTCCTGTACGTTTACAGAACGTCAGCATAATTACCATGGTGTGGAGTGTTCTCCTTCCTGTACGTTTACAGAACGTGAGCATACTTACCATGGTGTGGAGTGCTATCCTTCCTATACGTTTACAGAACGTCAGCATACTTACCAGCTTTGGCGTATTCTGATGCAGCGCTGTCGAAATCTGGCTTCCACTTTGTCATGCTGGTCTTTAAACTGCAAGAAATAAAATGTATATTTTCAGCAGCAATACAACTAGGGGTTAACAACACACACAGCCATAACAACACACACAGCCATAACAACACACACAGCCATAACAACACACACAGCCATAACAACACACACAGCCATAACAACAGACCCTGACAGGAGAGCTGGCTACATCAGCATTACAACTAGGGGTTAACAACACACACAGCCATAACAACACACACAGCCATAACAACACACACAGCCATAACAACACACACAGCCATAACAACACACACAGCCATAACAACACACACAGCCATAACAACACACACAGCCATAACAACAGACCTTGACAGGAGAGCTGGCTACATCAGCATTACAACTAGGGGTTAACAACACACACAGCCATAACAACACACACAGCCATAACAACACACACACAGCCATAACAACACACACAGCCATAACAACACACACAGCCATAACAACACACACAGCCATAACAACACACACAGCCATAACAACACACACGCCATAACAACAGACCCTGACAGGAGAGCTGGCTACATCAGCAATACAACTAGGGGTTAACAACACACACAGCCATAACAACACACACAGCCATAACAACACACACAGCCATAACAACACCACACAGCCATAACAACACACACAGCCATAACAACACACACAGCCATAACAACACACACAGCCATAACAACACACACAGCCATAACAACACACACAGCCATAACAACACACACAGCCATAACAACACACACAGCCATAACAACACACACAGCCATAACAACAGACCCTGACAGGAGAGCTGGCTACATCAGCATTACAACTAGGGGTTAACAACACACACAGCCATAACAACAGACCTTGACAGGAGAGCTGGCTACATCAGCAATACAACTAGGGGTTAACAACACACACAGCCATAACAACAGACCCTGACAGGAGAGCTGGCTACATCAGCAATACAACTAGGGGTTAACAACACACACAGCCATAACAACACACACAGCCATAACAACAGACCCTGACAGGAGAGCTGGCTACATCAGCATTACAACTAGGGGTTAACAACACACACAGCCATAACAACAGACCCTGACAGGAGAGCTGGCTACATCAGCAATACAACTAGGGGTTAACAACACACACAGCCATAACAACAGACCTTGACAGGAGAGCTGGCTACATCAGCATTACAACTAGGGGTTAACAACACACACAGCCATAACAACAGACCTTGACAGGAGAGCTGGCTACATCAGCATTACAACTAGGGGTTAACAACACACACAGCCATAACAACAGACCTTGACAGGAGAGCTGGCTACATCAGCATTACAACTAGGGGTTAACAACACACACAGCCATAACAACACACACAGCCATAACAACACACACAGCCATAACAACAGACCCTGACAGGAGAGCTGGCTACATCAGCATTACAACTAGGGGTTAACAACACACACAGCCATAACAACAGACCCTGACAGGAGAGCTGGCTACATCAGCATTACAACTAGGGGTTAACAACACACACAGCCATAACAACAGACCCTGACAGGAGAGCTGGCTACATCAGCAATACAACTAGGGGTTAACAACACACACAGCCATAACAACAGACCCTGACAGGAGAGCTGGCTACATCAGCAATACAACTAGGGGTTAACAACACACACAGCCATAACAACAGACCCTGACAGGAGAGCTGGCTACATCAGCATTACAACTAGGGGTTAACAACACACACAGCCATAACAACAGACCCTGACAGGAGAGCTGGCTACATCAGCATTACAACTAGGGGTTAACAACACACACAGCCATAACAACAGACCCTGACAGGAGAGCTGGCTACATCAGCAATACAACTAGGGGTTAACAACACACACAGCCATAACAACAGACCCTGACAGGAGAGCTGGCTACATCAGCATTACAACTAGGGGTTAACAACACACACAGCCATAACAACACACACAGCCATAACAACAGACCCTGACAGGAGAGCTGGCTACATCAGCAATACAACTAGGGGTTAACAACACACACAGCCATAACAACAGACCCTGACAGGAGAGCTGGCTACATCAGCATTACAACTAGGGGTTAACAACACACACAGCCATAACAACAGACCCTGACAGGAGAGCTGGCTACATCAGCAATACAACTAGGGGTTAACAACACACACAGCCATAACAACAGACCTTGACAGGAGAGCTGGCTACATCAGCATTACAACTAGGGGTTAACAACACACACAGCCATAACAACAGACCTTGACAGGAGAGCTGGCTACATCAGCAATACAACTAGGGGTTAACAACACACACAGCCATAACAACAGACCTTGACAGGAGAGCTGGCTACATCAGCATTACAACTAGGGGTTAACAACACACACAGCCATAACAACAGACCCTGACAGGAGAGCTGGCTACATCAGCAATACAACTAGGGGTTAACAACACACACAGCCATAACAACAGACCCTGACAGGAGAGCTGGCTACATCAGCATTACAACTAGGGGTTAACAACACACACAGCCATAACAACAGACCCTGACAGGAGAGCTGGCTACATCAGCATTACAACTAGGGGTTAACAACACACACAGCCATAACAACAGACCTTGACAGGAGAGCTGGCTACATCAGCATTACAACTAGGGGTTAACAACACACACAGCCATAACAACAGACCTTGACAGGAGAGCTGGCTACATCAGCAATACAACTAGGGGTTAACAACACACACAGCCATAACAACAGACCCTGACAGGAGAGCTGGCTACATCAGCATTACAACTAGGGGTTAACAACACACACAGCCATAACAACAGACCTTGACAGGAGAGCTGGCTACATCAGCATTACAACTAGGGGTTAACAACACACACAGCCATAACAACAGACCTTGACAGGAGAGCTGGCTACATCAGCAATACAACTAGGGGTTAACAACACACACAGCCATAACAACAGACCTTGACAGGAGAGCTGGCTACATCAGCAATACAACTAGGGGTTAACAACACACACAGCCATAACAACAGACCGTGACAGGAGAGCTGGCTACATCAGCAATACAACTAGGGGTTAACAACACACACAGCCATAACAACAGACCTTGACAGGAGAGCTGGCTACATCAGCAATACAACTAGGGGTTAACAACACACACAGCCATAACAACAGACCCTGACAGGAGAGCTGGCTACATCAGCAATACAACTAGGGGTTAACAACACACACAGCCATAACAACAGACCTTGACAGGAGAGCTGGCTACATCAGCATTACAACTAGGGGTTAACAACACACACAGCCATAACAACAGACCCTGACAGGAGAGCTGGCTACATCAGCAATACAACTAGGGGTTAACAACACACACAGCCATAACAACAGACCCTGACAGGAGAGCTGGCTACATCAGCATTACAACTAGGGGTTAACAACACACACAGCCATAACAACAGACCCTGACAGGAGAGCTGGCTACATCAGCATTACAACTAGGGGTTAACAACACACACAGCCATAACAACAGACCTTGACAGGAGAGCTGGCTACATCAGCAATACAACTAGGGGTTAACAACACACACAGCCATAACAACAGACCTTGACAGGAGAGCTGGCTACATCAGCATTACAACTAGGGGTTAACAACACACACAGCCATAACAACAGACCTTGACAGGAGAGCTGGCTACATCAGCAATACAACTAGGGGTTAACAACACACACAGCCATAACAACAGACATTGACAGGAGAGCTGGCTACATCAGCAATACAACTAGGGGTTAACAACACACACAGCCATAACAACAGACCCTGACAGGAGAGCTGGCTACATCAGCATTACAACTAGGGGTTAACAACACACACAGCCATAACAACAGACCTTGACAGGAGAGCTGGCTACATCAGCAATACAACTAGGGGTTAACAACACACACAGCCATAACAACAGACCTTGACAGGAGAGCTGGCTACATCAGCAATACAACTAGGGGTTAACAACACACACAGCCATAACAACAGACCCTGACAGGAGAGCTGGCTACATCAGCAATACAACTAGGGGTTAACAACACACACAGCCATAACAACAGACCTTGACAGGAGAGCTGGCTACATCAGCAATACAACTAGGGGTTAACAACACACACAGCCATAACAACAGACCTTGACAGGAGAGCTGGCTACATCAGCAATACAACTAGGGGTTAACAACACACACAGCCATAACAACAGACCCTGACAGGAGAGCTGGCTACATCAGCATTACAACTAGGGGTTAACAACACACACAGCCATAACAACAGACCTTGACAGGAGAGCTGGCTACATCAGCAATACAACTAGGGGTTAACAACACACACAGCCATAACAACAGACCCTGACAGGAGAGCTGGCTACATCAGGTTAGTCACTAACACAGTAGTGATGGAAAGTTCGGCTCTTTTTACCGACTAAGATCTTTTCAACTCGTTCAGTCAAAATAACTAATCTTTCGACTCATTTGGTTCATTTGATTCAGTAACACCCAGAGCATGCAGGACCGCCTATTGGCGAATGATGACCAAAAAATAGAAAGAATCGTGATTCTACAAGCCTCTCGTGCACCATAGGGGGATTTGGCACACAGAAACTAAAGGTCAAAAATAATGGCACTAATTGGCCATTTGGTAACACTGTTATAAGCAGTCTCACTTAAACCTTCATATCCGTTGCCCTTTTTGACCTAGAGACTAGAAACGTTGTATGTAGGTGTCTTTCCTCATGCTGAACACATTTACCTCAAGGACCCATAAGGCCCATCAGGATAGGTTTTCCTCTATCTTGGACATTTTGGAAAAACCTTTGAAATAAGTCCAAATAACTTAAATTCAGTATGTAATAAGTTAACTAATAACAATTAACTTTTTTGACTATGTAACACTAATGCTTAAAATAATCATTAGAAATCTTCTCATGGACTACAAGTCAGATTCACTCCAAGTGTGGTCTTTGGACTCATCACAATAGTCCCTAAAGAGTTTGAGAAAATAACATTGCTGCATTCAAAAGATGGCCACACTATACCAGTAGATGCATATTAGCACTTACACAAACAAAATACTTCAAAAATTATCTTATCATGAACCACAGTACCAAATGACACCATATTTTGAATGTAGGATCATGGTACATGTCTTAACACAGTTTGAAGCTAAGGGATTGGTCAAAAGATGGCCGAGTTATTGACAAATAAACGTGTCCATTTAAACCACTGTAAATCCACTCCACAGTGGTTGATCAACTTGAAACTTGTCATCGCTATCATGATCCAGTTGCTGGTCCTGTCTCCGGAGTCACTGAGCGTGTAATATGCTGTAGTCCGAATACATTGCGGCCAGGTCAAACGAACGAATCACTTGGAGAAAACGAATCATGACTCGAGTCAGTTAACAGAGTCGTTCAAAAAGAACGAATCGTTTGCGAACAGCACATCACTATAACACAGTGGCCTTGTTGTGGCTTGCAATGGATATTACAATGGAAAAGCATACACAGCACTGAGCAGACAGCTAAGTAACGTTACCGTTGCTAGCTAGCTAACGTTAGCTAGGTGATGAATGATCATGAATGAATGCATCCGCTGAATGGCCAGATTAGTAGATAGCTAGCTACTTCCTACAAATACAGCTAACTCATTAACTGTAATTCAAGGACAATGTCGTAATGTTAAGTAACTCTGGTTAACCGCTAAGGTCAGATATTCTTGACAATGTTACTAGTCAGCTAGGATTCAAAGAAGCGTCAGCGATGCTAGCTACAGTACCGTTCGTTAACGTCAGCTAAAATCAAACCAAACGCGGCTTGCCATACTTTTTCTCCGCTTTAGCGATGTGTTCGTGGGCTTCGTTTATTTTGGAGGCCATGGTGCTGTTCGTGGTCTTCGACAATCTGTCGAGCAGATTTTTATTTGTGGGAGAAAAAAAATCTAGCCGATGACAAAACAAATGCCGATGGTGTTTGGATGAAAAAAAATGTCCACAACGTCGAACTACGGATTTACCGGATGGCATTGCGCAATGCGTCACAGTCCTTTAAATGGGGCTGGACGGAGACAGAAACAGTCATGGCGTCTTTTTGTAGGCACTAACTCCGCCGTGGTTCGTCGGACAAATTGAAAGGCGTCTTTGTAGGGTTTTTGGATAAAAGGCCATGTTAACGGACTGCTATTATTTCATAGAACAAAATGTAGAAGATCTCTTAAGCCTGCGCTAACCTCAGATCTTATTTTCGGCGTTTATTCCAAAACCCTATTGTCTTCCCATAGGGATGGCTGATTGAACCAGAGGTCACTCATTTTCGAGTGTTAGGACTACACGCTGGCGAGCTCTATTCAGCATAAACTTTTCAACGTCAAATTGTTGTAAAATCTTTTGCTTTTGAGGAAACTTGAGTATACAGATTTGAGACAAGGTTATTATAGTAGGAAAGCCGTATGTGCTAGTCCAGGGGTGTCAAACTCATTTTAGCTCAGGGGCCACATGGAGGAAAATCTATTCCCAAGTGGGCCGAACCGGTAAAATCATGGTATATATAACTTAAAAACAACAACTTCAGATTGTTTTCTTTGTTTTAATACTATCAACATAAAACATAAAGCTGGAGCCTGAGGACAGTGTGTCCAAAATAGTACAAGCACAACATCACTATTAATCATAAAACACCTAAAGTTTATTTGAAAATTCTAAAGAAAAAGAACACACAAACACACAATGCCTCAGTGATTAACAGAACTGTTTCACAGATTACAGAACTATATCAGGGTGTCATTTCTCAGGCAGAAATGTAGATACAAATAATGAAATCCTGTTCCCCAAACAAGTGCAAGAACCACAGTGTCAAGGATAGGTTAAATAAAATAAAATCAATTAAAAACAATAGCACATCAACATAAAAACATATAAACATAAAGCTGGAGCCTGAGGACAGTGTCCAAAAGCACAACATCACTATTAATCATAAAACACCTCAAGTTATTTGAAATTCTGAGGACAAACAACACACAAACACACAATGCCTCAGTGATTCACAGAAGTATATCACAGATCACAGAACTATATCAGGGTGTCTCATGCAGCACTTTAAGTGGGGTTGCATAGTTTATTTGACTCCTGATACCTGGCATCTTTTAGCTTTCACCAGCGCATCAATATCAGGCGTCACATCCTGAGTGGCAGCCAACTTCAGGATGTGATTCAAGTGCTTGTGCGTGAGCCTTGAGCGCAGCTTTGTTTTATTTATGCTCATTACAGAGAACTTGCTCACAAAGATATGTGGTTCCAAACATGCACAACAGTTTTGCAGTGAGGGCTGTCAAGTTGGGGTAACCTGGCAAGAGATTCTGATAAAATGTGTCCAAGCCAGCTGCGGCAAATTTGCCCTTCAAATCCGAGTCACACTGCAAGTATATTATTTCAAGTTGGATGCTGACGGGCAGATCAGAGGGATTCACGGTTAATGGCGAACAAAAAACGTTGAAGTCTTTCTCCAGTTCACCAAAAATCTGAAAGCGTTGCTCAAACTCCCTTAACAGTCCCGTTATTTTATCTTTGAACCACTTCATGTCTGCCACATGTTGGGTCGCGCACACATTTTTCAGACAAGGGAAGTGAGCTGCATCACCACCGGCGAGTTGCGTCTCCCACAATGACAGCTTCAACTTGAAAGAACGTATGCTGTCATAATACTGCGTGGCAACTTTGTTGCACCCTTGCAGCTGTTTGTTCAAGTTATTCAGGTGCTCTGTAACATCCACCATAAATGCAAGGTCCTGCATCCATTCTGCGGAATGAAATTCTAACACTGGTTTGCCCTTTTCTTCCATGAACTGTTCAATTTCTTCTCGTAAATCAAAGAAACGCCTCAGCACAGCACCTCGGCTTAACCATCTTACCTCAGTGTGGTATGGCAGGCCATAGATGTGGTCTTTCTCTCTGAGAAGGCTGTCAAACTGACGTTGATTCAGGCTTCTGGATCGGATGAAATTAACAGTTTGGATACTATAATAATAATAATATAATAATAATATAATAAAAATAATAACCACCTTCATGACGTTATCCATCTTTAATGACTTGCAACACAAAGCCTCCTGGTGCAAAATACAGTGAAAAGTCCAAAAATCACGTCCTCCATTTGCAGATTGCACTTTCTCTCTGAACTTTGTCACAACGCCTGCTTTTTTCCCGATCATTGAGGGCGCACCATCTGTAGCCAGGCTGACAGCGCGGGACCAGTCCACTCCGACCCTGTCCAGCGCGCTGACGAGTGCAGTGAAAATATCAGCTGCTGTCGTTGTATCTGTCATCGGCACCAACTCCACGAACTCCTCGGTGACGGTCAATGTGTCATCAACTCTGCGGATGAAAATGGCCAGTTGTGCAACATCTGTAATGTCCATGCTTTCATCAATTGCAACCGAAAACGCAATAAATTACTTTACTTTTTTCTTCAACTGGCTGTCCAAATCCACTGAAAGATCGGAAATCCTGTCTGTAACTGTGTTTCTTGTCAGGCTGATATTTGCAAAAGCCTGGTGCTTTTCAGGGCACACAATCTCCGCTGCCTTCATCATGCATGTTTTTACAAATTCACCCTCACTAAATGGTTTTGAAGCCACTGCGATTTCATTAGCAATGAGGTAGCTAGCTTTCACTGCAGCGTCACTGATGTCTCGGCTGTGAGTAAACACAGACTGCTGTTTCTTCAGACCCGCCAACAGTTCATTCACCTTCTCTCATCTCCGCTGTCCTTGAAAGTTGTCATATTTGTCGGCATGAAGACTCACATAGTGGCGACGAAGGTTATATTCTTTCAGCACTGCAACATGCTGTGAACACACCAAACATACAGCTTTCCCATTCAATTCCGTGAATAAATAGGATGACAATTTTTCTTGGAACACTCTGCACTCTGCGTCCACTTTTCTCTTTTTTGACAGAGACATATTGGGGCAATGAGGGTGCCAAAGCACATAATGTTAAAAGTAGAAGCCGTAATAAATATCGCGGGCAAAACAAAGTAGCTCATCCGGACTGGCTGCTCTTGCTTGACCTATTTGCTCTGCCCCGGTATAAACAGTTTGCTTGCTTAACACAATTGCTATTGCGCCATCCAGTGGACACAATTGGAACAGCAGTTTCTTTTATTGAAAAATTGCAGCTCATTTTTATACTTTACAAAATCATCTCGCGGGCCGGATTAAACCCGTTTGCGGGCCTGATCCGGCCCGCGGGCCGGACATTTGACACCCCTGTGCTAGTCAATAGAAAATATACATTTAGAGCCAAAAGATAGTCTTGCCTTGTCGAGAAAGAAACAGAGCATATGCCCACAATCACAGAGAAATCTGATAACATTGTGCTTACAGTCATCAACCCCTCTCACATGACATCTATTTTCATTCAACAAAACAGTTATTCAACTAAACTGTACTTATCAAAATGTATGTCTCTGTGGTATAGTAATGCACATTATTTTTATTAGGATCATTTAAAGCCCCCATGCCGTCTTTTTAATAAACATTTAAAAATCATCACTGTATGTCTAATACATCATTGTGTGTGTTTACTTCATGAAAATACCTCCAAATATATTTTGTATTATTTATTTCCCTGAGCATCCTTTTGCCATAGGGCTGCAATGAGGGGTTCCCGAAGTGGATTCTCAATCCTCCAAACCCCTGGTGATATCAAAGCGATATTACTGTGAAACGTAGATGTTCTATTTTCTACCGAGATTGCAAAACAATTCGTAGGTTGGTGTAGTGTTCATAATATGAATGTTTCAACCTTCATGTTGAGAAATCGTTTCTGTTTCAAAGAGTACCAAATCCTACAGTAACCATGAGCCTCGCGGTCTGTATCATCCAATCACAGAGCAGACAAGTCACGTGATCCGTTAGCGAACGCATAGTAATCATCGTGTGTTGACATATTTTATTTATCTATTTAACCTTTATTTAACTAGGCAAGTCAGTTAAGAACAAATTCTTAATTACAATGATGGCCTACCAAAAGGCAAAAGGCCTCCTGCGGGGGCTGGGATAAAAAAATAATGATATATACAGTACCAGTGAAAAGTTTGGACACACCTACTCATTCTAGGGTTTTTCTTTATTTTTATAAATTTCTACATTGTAGAATAATAGTGAAGACATCAAAACTATGAAACAACAAATATGGAATCATGTAGTAACCAAATAAGTGTTAAACCTATTTAAACAAATGAAAATATATTTTATATTTGAGATTCTTCAAATCGCCACCATTTGCCTTGATGACAGCTTTGCACACTCTTGGCATTCTCTCAACCAGCTTCAGGAGGTAGTCAAATTTCAATTGACAGGTGTGCCTTTTTAAAAGTTAATTTGTGGAATTTATTTCCTTCTTAATGCGTTTGAGCCAATCAGTTGTGTTTTGACAAGGTGGGGGTATACAGAAGATAGCCCTATTTGGTAAAAGACCAAGTCCATATTATGGCAAGAACAGCTCAAATAAGCAAAGAGACAGTTTACTTTAAGACATGAAGGTCAGTCAATACGGAACATTTCAAGAACTTTGAAATTTTCTTCAAGTGCAGTCACAAAAACCATCAAGCGCTATGATGAAACTGGCTCTCATGAGGACCGCCACAGGAATGGAAGACCCAGAGTTACCTCTGCTGCAGAGGATAAGTTCATTAGAGTTACCAGCCTCAGAAATTGCAGCCCAAAGAAATGCTTCACAGAGTTCAAGTAACAGACACATCTCAACATCAACTGTTCAGAGGGGACTGTATGAATCAGGCCATTATGGTCGAATTGCTGCAAAGAAACCACTACTAAAGGACACCAATAAGAAGAAGAGACCTGCTTGGGCCAAGAAACACGAGCAATGGGCATTAGACCGGTGGAAATTTTTCCTTTTTGGTTCCAACCACCGTGTCTTTGTGAGACGCGTTGTGGGTGAATGGATGATCTCCGCATGTGTATTGTACTCCTGAGTGGCGCAGTGGTCTAAGGCACTG